TAAGATTCACCTAGAAGAAGAAATATGTGAGCCTGATAAACTGCCAACAATGAAAATGATACAGAAGCAGTAGTCAAGAGCTCAATGAAAGACAATCAAGAGTCCAGGCCAGACCACCACCTGTGAGGTGACCACAAGCATAAGGAAATGATTCAATACATTCTAGTCAGAGCACACCTTGACGTGCGAAGAGGGGCAGGAAAGCAAAGAAACAAAAGGTATGTGCTTTTGTTTTGTTTTGTGGTGGTGGGAGTGCGAACTTTTTCAGTGCGAGAACATACCAGGAACCACACACACACACACACACACACACACACACACACACACACACACACACACACAGAGTAAATATACTAATATGTCTACATGGAAAAATATTTTATTTACATGCCCAACCCCTAATACTCTAATGAGAACTCTAACCCTAACCCTAGACCAAGCCCTAGGCCTAACCCTAGCCAAACCCCTCTTAACTCCTAATTCTAACCTTAACCTGAACTCTAACCTAATCCTAGTCCTTAAACCCAGCCTTAACCCTACCCCTAACTCAAGACCAAGCCTAGCCCTAGCCCAACCTCTGACCTTGTTTTTAACCCCTCTAAAATCCATCAGAATGTGTGGTACAGACTCACAGAAGGTTCCCTGCAGCCCTGTTAGAAGTGCTTCATGAACGCAACACACATAACCTATGTTGTTGTTAATTACTGGTTTTCTTTTTTCAGGCAGGGGTGGGGTGTAGGGGTAAATGGGTAGGGATTAACAAGTTCCTTAGTGGTGCAAAAGGTTGGAAAAACTCAAAGCCACCCAGAAGTCCCTCCGAAGAAAGGCTTAGGTGATCCAGTTGGTACCCCCCCCCCACCGCACTGAAAACTGCATGGAATACAGGTCTACTCCAACACTCATGCATGTTCACACACACATACACATGGAGTTCCCATGAATCAGTTAAAGGGGATTACACCCAGCCAGAAAACTTAACAGTGGTTATAAAAAAATTAGGATTTTTTTTTAACTTTTAAAAACATTGGTTTTATCTTTTTCTTTTAGTTTAAAAGAGACAGTGGTAATTAGATGAATTTATGTAAACTTCATGTATGAAAGTGTAGGGGTGACATCCAAACTGTCAATCAGGTCACAGGCTGACGGTGCCTCTTTGTGGGTGTGGCCTTCTCATAAGGAGGGCCCAAGGAACCTTCCCTCTCTCTGCCTTTCCCTTCCTGCCTGCTCGCCACCCACAAGGGCTGGAGCCCTGCCATGTTTCCATGATCTCAGATCCATGCAGGTTTGCGCCCATCAGCTTATGACCTCCCTGCATTCTGCATCACTGAGAGGGCCTCATGGCCTAGCACCGAACTTAGAGACCTGTACTGAGCTGGGATGCTTTCTTGATATATAATGACTTCTTGAGATAAAGCTCTTTCTTATACATATATAAGTGCCACTGGATTTGTTTCTCTACTCAATCAGTCCTAACACAAAGACATTTTGTTCCTTCACCTAGGAATTCTAGTTCTAGGAATTTATCCTCAAGAAACAAATGTGAATGTTCACTAACACCTTTTCTTTAAGGTTTAAAAAATAATAAAATGAATTCAAGTATCTGTTCCAAACAAGGAGATATAAATGATTGGGCATCCATATTTATTGCAGTTAGTACTGCAATTAGGGTTAGGGTTATATCTGTATTTATTGGAATTAGGTAAATCCACTGAGGTGGTACAAAACCCAAATATATCAGGAGCAAATTGCTAAATAATTCTTCTTATGAAAACTTCAAGTACTGGTTAACATGCATCCAAGAATTGGAGAAAATGCATGCTCTGCCAACAGTGGCCATAAAAGGCTCTCACTGGCTATGTTATACAACCTGCACTGTTTGTGAATTATCTATAATGCGCATTTATCTTTGTAATCACAGGGTAACTTGTAAACCTTTCAGTAACCCACTAGGGCAGAATTCTAAAGAGCCCCTTTGAGAAGAAACTAAGCTGGATGGACAGACAACCTGACAAAAAATTTGGGACATCTGCTAGAACCTCTACACACAAGGAGGCTTCAAAGGGTTGAGGAAATTGGGATTAGGAGATAAAGGAAGCCTCCCATGTTATGTCTTATTTCTACGTACTTAAAGTCAGAATAAATGCTAAACAACCCAAACCTACACATTTTTTTAAAATGAAAGGGCATATAGAAAACATTTCTTCTTCTTCTTCTTCTTTTTTTGCCTGTAAATCTTGGGAGGTGAGCAGACAGCAGGAAAAAAGAATGCCTTAAAAGGCATCTGCATGAGCCATACAATTACATGTGAACTATGCTGAGGCCTGACTCGAGAAAGCAGCGCTGGTGGCCTAGTGGGTATGCAAAGTCAGCAGTTTGAGAACGGCAGAACGAAGAACGAAGGGCCCGCACCAGGCTCAAGACCCTGCACTCGGGCACTAGGCCAGTCCTCCCCTCTCCAATGTGTTTTCAGAACGGGCCAAAATTAAAACGCCCCACGAAGAGGGCGGTGGATGGTGACTCCTTCAGTGCACTTGTCTTTTAATGGTAACAAATTAGAAATAACCTAAATAGTCAAAAGAACAATTAACACACTGATCGTGATAGAATATTAGCCATTTCAATGTGTTTAAAAAGATTTTTAACAGCACAAAGACATGCTTAGTACAAGTTTAGAAAAGTGACGTACATTCACATGCAGCCATAATACCATTTCAATGATGCATATTTGCACAGAAAGAAAGATTAGGAAAAAGCAATAAAAAACTTCATTTAATAACAGTTCTCTCTAAATGGAATCAGGGGTGATTCATTTCTTTACACTTCTCTGTGCCTTCTGATCATTCAATAATATATAAATTTTACCTTTAATGGCTTTTAAAGTTCTGGCCTATACTGGCGGGGCTTACAAACTGCGATTTTCTTTTAGATATTGCCATTGTTTAAAAGTCTTTTACATTAACCTTTTCAAATTCTGTTCTTTAAGGTCTAGTAAAAATGAGATAAATGAACATTAGGTCGTGACTCCAAAGGGTAAAATGGCGGCAGAAGATACTAAAAAGACTCTCCAACCCTAACAACACAGTGTGTGTGTGGATGAAGAGGAACAGAGACTTACCAAACGCAATTGGCGGTGGGGTGTGGGGGCGGTGTGGAGGGGGTGTGCTATGTGTAGCAAATGACTGACATGCTGGGTTACTTTTTCGGCCCACATTGAACTGGGAAATCCCAGCTGTAAAACAAAAGGCCAAAACTTCCTTGTGGTTATTCCAAAGCCTGAAGGATGCAGAAGCAGGAAGGGAGGGTTTTAGAACTTGGTACAAAGGCTCACTCACTCACTCATGATGACTCATTTTCAGCTTCTGGACACCATAATTTAAGATGGGCACTGTGACCTCCTGGAATATATCCAAGAGAGCAAGAGAGATGTCACAGGGCCCAGAATGTGGGGGTGGGGGTGGTAGTGGGGGTACCCTTGTGCAACTAGGTTGGTTTAAGGGAGACAGGATGAGTGACTATATCAAATTCCTATGGAAGCTGACTTTATGAGCAGCTATCAGGAAAAGGAAGCTTTAAACGACAGGGAGGCAGAGTCTCGCTCTGCTCAAGGAGCAGCATGTTCTGAATGGAACAGATAGACGGCTTCTGTACGTACTGCCAACTACGGAAAGGAGAAGGAAAGAAAGCAAGCTGGGAACTATTTTAGAGGTCTTCTCTAATCTGGAAAAAGGAGCCAGGGAATGCAAATACACTTCCTTCTCCGCTTCTCTCGTCAACGAGATAAAGGCAAAGGCATAAAGCAAAAGCCTGAACACAATCACATTGAGATTTCTGTGACAAAGCTGGTAAGCCTGAGGAGATTACCTGACATTGCAGAAGAGTGCATGGCGAAAGCCAGGCCATTTCCCTGCGTTCCACTGAGCACGCAGTGCTAAAACACTGCGGTCCTTCTGGGTGAAGATGACGCAGGTGTCTCGGACAAGGAGTCCTCAGGGCCCTGAACACAGTACAAGGACTCTGAAGGTGCAAGAGCAGGAGACAGTGCGCATTCCCAGACCTGCTGATCCAGCAAAGGAAATCTTTAAACAAGGAGTTTAATCCTTCACACCACAATGTGGGCGAGCCTGCTGGGAGCTGTGGCTGGGCCTTTTCCAGCCATTCCCCAGTGATGCTGCTAAGCCCCTCCCGCCGTTCCGTTCCGGAGCAATGGTTCTTCACAATATTTTTGTCAAAGACCCTTAGAGAAGTCAATGTCTTTGCTCCAGAAAAAGAAAAAATTTATCATGTGTATAAATGTGTGCTTTCCAATGAGACCCTGCTGAAAACTCTCAAATGGGAATTCCATTTTTCTTCTCTTTAAGAACTTAGGGGGAAAAAATCAAGGCTTTCAAAATGGCAATTTAATTCATAATAATGTATCAGATATAAAAGGAATCTTGTATCAATTAAACAGAAGAGACAGAAAAGCTGAGAAATCACACTGTAAAGGCACAATTGATACTACTACTAAGCTAGAGGACCACATTTGTCGCCCCCGAAAAATTCAAAGCAGCTCAGAAGAGGCACTGTCATAAACTTTCAAAGACAAAAGGAAAATATACTGCCCATTCAAAAGTTTTACTTCCACGGAGGGCCTATTTTTTACAATATGCATTTGCAATCCTTTAAATTAAAAAGGTGTTTATTTCTTTGTCTTTATAAATCTATAAATTCCCAATGGGGGGAGGGATATGCTGCATTATAATTTCCTTTCCACTGTGAACTTTTCTTCCAGTTAATTAGCTTACCAAGCATGTTAGAAAAGTGGAAAATTATGACACGGTATATCAGCCAACAGTGGGGGGAGTGGAGCATAAACTTCCAGACGCTTCATAAATTGTTTATTTAAGCAATGAAAGAGAATTTATGGGAAATGAGATCTATGTTGTGATTTTTACCCACCCAGTGCCTTTCTAACCTTAGGTCAAAGAGAAAGGGTAGAAAACTAGGGCTGAGAGACTTACGTTTTGCCTCCGAGAGGTTCTGGTTAGGAGACCACACCAGCATGCCAAGATTCTCTCTCTCCTGACTGCGCCTTGCCAGCTTAGCTTGGTAGAAATAAAAAAGAAAATCCTTATGTAATTATAATGATTGAACAGATCTAACGAGCAATGAGTAACATCCCCACCCAACAAGTACCACCACCACCCTGGTCTTTCAGCCTCAGAACAACCTGAATGGAGCCTAGGCAATTAGCATCCAAGCTAAGGGGACAGATGGGGGAGGCTCCTGAATCAGCAAAAACAGTCCTGCTGCCAAGCTCTTTTCTGTTTTACTTTTTAAAGTGAAGAACGGGTATAGAGGTTGTTAGTGTCCTGAGTCGGCTCTGACTCAGGGACCCTGCATATTACAGAGGGCAGCACTGCCCAGTCCTGCACTGGCCGCACAATCATTGCTGTGTCTGAGCCCACTGTTGCAGCCACCGTGTCCACGCGTCTTGTCTTAAGCGTTCCTCATTTTGCTGGCGCTCTGCTTTTCCCAGTGTGATGTCTGCTGTCCTTTTGCTAAGGACTAGTGCCTCCTTGGTAACGTGTCCAAAGTGCTGAAAACAAAAGTCTCACCATCCTCCCTGCTAAGAAGCATTTTTGGCTGTACTTCTAAGACAGATGTGTTTGTCCAAGACCGCTGTTTGTTCTTCTGGCCGCCCGTGGTATACTGAATATTGTTCACCAATACCGTTAATCCAAAGGCAATAATTCTTCAGTCTTCTTTATTAATGGTCTAGCTTTCATAAACCTAAGGCAACTGAATAGACCATGACTTGGGTCAGGTGCACCTCGGTCCTCAAAGTGACCTCTGTGCACATCTACAACGTCTGTTACTAATGGATGTTTGCAGCAGGCTCTCATTTTGAGTCCCAAGAGCTCGTTTCATCTACATCATTAAATAAGCAGGACTTTAAAGAAGCAGCTCACCTTCCAGCCCTCTACCAGAAATGTTCTGCTGCTTCTTAGGGGGTTTCACTGGCCAGTTTGTCCGGTCACCAGGTCTTTCTTCCTCACCTGTCTTCGTCTGTAAGCTCCCCTGAACCCTGCCTATCATGGGTGGCCCTGTTGGTATTGAGAGCACTGAGGGCAGAGCGTCCAGCCTCACAACAGCACACAAGTCAGCAAAGCACAACAAACTGACAGAGAGTTACGGGCCGGCTAATTGTGAAGCAGGTATATAGTTAGTCCTGCCTGACAGATGAGGGCACTGAAGCACTCATTCAACTAGTGGATGGCAGAGCCAGGATTCAATTGAGGCCAAGTGGCTCCTGGACCCGACACATCTACTTGCTGCTCCTGGACATCCCAGAAGGAAGCTGGCATGGCCGAGCAAGTGCAACTCTAAGATATTCTTTTTAGCGTTCAACTCCAGTGCTTTGTTTCCCTGTGGGTCTTTCCTCGCCAATCTCCCAGAGTTTGCTTTGAAGTCCCGGCCCCAGACACCCTATGTGTGTGCATTGTTTCCTTCTCCTTCCCTGCCACAGGACTTTCACTGACAACAAGAAGCCAATGTTTCTTTTAACACCATTTTTTGGGGGGAGGGGGGGGGGAAGGGGAGACTGTCAATTTAACCTAAAAGGAAACACATACAAATGCTTAAAATTCTGTATGATGGTAACCAGTAGGCAAAAGGCTGACAAGTGTCAAGTGTAGTACATTAGGTGCAAGACATAGACATAGATTAGACAGAGAGATGTAAAACTGTTTTAAAAAGCCACAGAAGAAGCTAAGGAAGGAAGGATCAGCTACTGATGACTGCATTAGACACAAATTCATTCTTTCTAAAGGTATTTTTACCTTTATAAAAAAAATTAACTCCTCTGAAAAAAATCAAAGCGACACACTATGTATTAGACAAGGTTATAAGATGTATTTATGGGGTGGTCAAGAACAGGCTATAAAAGATGGGTACAACAGAAAGCAATACAAGGCTATGGATGACAGTGGAAGCCCCAGATCCATTGGCAGGTCTCCACATAAATTAAGCCTCCGGTAACTCCCTCTGACCAGAGTCCAGGGATGTCAATAGCCTTGCTATCAGACAGAGAGCATTGTAAAGTTGATTATGACAGATGCACTTGGGTTAAAATGTAGTATTTTATCATTTGATCTCCCTTTTGACCCTCTTTAAAGTTGTTACAAGTAAAAAGGTAAGAACGTGTCTAGCATTGACCATCTTTGATAAAATAACAGTTAATAGTAATAAATGTTAACCCCCCCCCCATTGTTCTAATCAATCGAGATGTGAAGAATAGGGGCATTGAGTGGGATTAAAAACAAACAAGTCTCTCATATTTAAAAAAAAATCAAGAAAGGAAGAACCACTGGTTTTAAAAATGAGTTTTTGAGTTTGTCAAAAACAATCACTAATATTTTTTAAATAGTTGGTGCTTCAACGTGCTAATAATTGAACAATCAGAATTTTAAAATACCACAGACATGAAAATCTTGCGAGGTCTGACAAATGATATTTAAGGCTCTAACCATAAGTTACAAGTACCACTGGGAGTATTGCATGCCCTTACGTATACAGCAAGATTATATCGTGTTTACTCCTCAAAGAACTCAGTAATGTTATTCAGATGGCAATTCCCCCACATCGCTCTCAGATTCGACACAACCGCGATCAAAATCCCAGTGCACCTCTCTGTACAAACGGACAAACTGACTTTAAAATTCCTACATTAATGCAGTGTCTAACATCACCAAAACAACTCTGAAAAAGGACAGGGATTTCACCTTCCAAATCAAGACTAGTTACAGAGATTTAGTACTCAAGACAGTGAGGTTATGGGCAAAAAAAATAAATAGAATCAAGATGAAAATAGAATCACATACATATGATCAATTCATTTGCCACAAAGAAGCTGCAGAGGTAGTGTGCTATGAAAGAAAATTGGTTTGTTCAAAAATTAATTCTGGAACAAATAACACACAAATTAACTTGTACAATAGAACGGATTACAGACCTAGTTGTGAAACCAAAAATTATAAGACTTCTAGAAGACCTAACATTAACTGAAAAAGAAAAAAAAATCTGAGGTTGGGTTAGAAAACGAAGTCTTAGATGCACTGAAAGCACAGTCCAGAAGACAGAAGACTCCTCTAAGTTAGACCCCATTAAAAAGAACAACTGGTGCTCTTTGAACAACATGAATGAGAAAATGAAGTCAAACTAAAGAAAATAATCACAAATCGTACTATCGATAATGATTTAGATCCAGAACATATAACAACTCTCAAAACCGAACAACAAAAAAACTTCGATTTTTCAAAAAGGAGCAAATTATTTCAAAATGCACTTTGCCAAAGAATAGGAACCTGGAAAACAAACAAACAAGCAAAAACTCTCTGGGACTAAAGCAGAACTGGAACTGCCCTGTGGGTTTCCCAAGGTCGCCTGTCTTGACTGTAACGGGGTGGCGGGGTGTTTAACAACTAACCAAGTAATCAGCAGCCCAATGCATAACTCACCGCACACCGTGAGGGCTCAAAATCATGACTCTAAAAACAAACAAACAACTCACTGCCACAGAATCAATTCTGACGCATGGCAACCCTAGAGGACAGGGTAGAAGTGCCCCTGTGGGTTTCCAAGACTGTCCCTCTTTACAGATGCAAAAAGCCTCATGGTTCTCTCTCAGATCAGCTAGTGGTTTCAAACAAATTAAAACAAAAATGACAGACCACAACAGCCCTGTTTAAGTGTATGAGATTAAGAAGAACAACAGTACCGAATGACAGGGATAAAGTGAGGCGCTGGAACGCTCACTGCTGGTGGGAGTGAGCACAGTGGCCCTTGCTGACGGGAAAGGGCTGGCAGGTTCCTAAAATCATGGTGCACCAGAACCTGCCACATTTCTAACACTCAGGAAACTATTGGCGTTTTCCTTCTCGGATACATTTCTGCCTCGCAGAGGCTCTGACTTTTGTAGGTTTTTACTATCTGTCCATTGGCATTAGACACATGTGGCAGGTGTGATAATGTGTATCCAATATCAGCTATCTCTCTATGTATACAAATACATTAAGAAGAGACTTCCAGATATCTTAACATAACAAAACAACGTTTTGATGGTATCACAGAGCAGTGCCCATTTATTATTACAAACCACTGCATATACCACAAATGTTTAACATACTAGGCTATAGAGAAATACAGGTTGACTTGTACCACCCCTGGACTGAAACTGCCCCTGGGACACCTGGAAATTGTGTATACGCACACATACAACAAGTCCAGGGCTGGTACAGATGGTTGCACTGATCAAAAGGTTGGTAAGTGAACCCACCCATGAAAGAAAAGCCTGGTTAAAAGAACTCAAAACAAACGCACTGACATCAAGTGAACGCAGACTCAGCCAGGGTGGGCCTGCTCCTGAGGCTTTCCAAGGCTGCTACAGAAGCAAACAGCCTCCTCCTTCTCCTAGTGAGCAACGGGGGGCTTGAAACACCAACCTTTCCGTTAGCAACCTAACACTTAAACCACAAGGCCAGCCACTGAAAACCACGTGGAGCAGTCGCTGTATTATGAAGCATCATGTGGGAGGAGGATGGGAGAAGGATGTGTTTCCCTTGCGTCGGAATTGACATGAAGGCAGTGGGAGCAAGTGGTTTTAATACAAGCCTCTATGCAGACACCTAGTTCACAGCTTTACGTGAACAGTTCATACAGTCCAGATTCTCCAACTTTTGGTTAGCATGCGGCCCGCATGGGGGTGGGGTGGTATGATAATGCATGCTAAATCTGGATGGTATGCAAAAACCATTTTCTGGTTTGTTTTTTAATATTTGTACAATTTGAAAACCTTTGTTAAAAAGATTACATGAATAACAACAATGAGTATGGGGGGAAAGAAAATGTCTAAAATGAATTGTGGTAAAGACTGTACAACGCATCTCAATATGAGTGAACTACTGAATTGTATGATACGTGGAGGAAGACCAATGAAACGGTTTTTTTAAAAACCCCACCTTTTTAAAGAGAACTAAGGCAAAAGGAGCTACCAGTGTATGATTTGCTGAAACTTAATACAATGTGTTCCAAATTAAAATGACCT